CTTGGACACTCTCGGCATCTTCTGAAGCTTTTTAAAGTTATCAGTTTTCGTTATTTTTACTTCGTTTACTTTTGCGAATAGCCAGTTAAAGTTCGTACGTGTGCCTTCTCCAACAAGAAGACACCATCCAGTGCGAACTCGCTTTGAACTCCCGCGAACACACCCACGTGGGGACAACCGCACGCTTCCAGCATACAAAGGTCTGAAAAGCAATTTGTTCCATCAAATTTGAGACTCAAGATATAATCCTGTGGTTGTCTCTGAAGGTTTAAAGCTGTGCTAGTAACTGTAATTTTCTTTGTATTTCCATTTTCCCTTGTTTCCTTATTTTAGTTTCACTTTCATTTTGTGTATATACATATATCGTGTGATTTTTGTAGTGTAACTTAGTCGTGTGCTTTTATTAAACTCATTTATACATTCTTTGCCATTGTTTGTATTAATCACATAACAAAGCCTCTTTAATATTAGATCCTAACGCTACAATCTGATTTTGTTGAGTGCACAAAACATTGTCAGAAAATTTAAGCTAAACAGATCAAGTGATTGATAGTTTTATAGATCCGCACGCTGGCGCGCTGACTGAGAAAACTGTGTAGTCCTTGTGGTCTTAAAAATCAAACAGCCCCGATCTGTGGAAAATATATGCTCCAAATTAAGCATAATTCGTTATGTTAATTTCGTCAGATATACCAGAAGCAGACGTGTGTTGTGACACACCCCTCGTTGGGTGATTTAATTTATGTGAGAAACTCGGTTTAACGAATATTCTATAAGTTGCTGATCCAGATTATTGATTTTGGAATATTCTTCCCCTGAATTCAAATTGAGCTATAAACCTTAAGCCGAGATTCCTTACATATATTTAATGGTGGAGAATGCGGGCATATTTTAAGCTTTGTTGTGTGTGAAATTAATGCAGTGACAATTTTTGTATACTTTGCTGTTTGGTTGAGACACGCGACCGCGCGCCGTCGCATCTTGACTCAAGTGCGCGCCGCCGCAAATTGAGAATCTAGAGTATCTCAACTCCGCAATTGCATGATTGAATGTGCTTAACGTTTTAGTCGTGGTAATTGTTAAAATAAATTGCAGTTCAGAATACTGATATTCACTGTTAAGTGTTTAAGGTTAAACTGTAGTTTGTGACGAAAGTAATATTTACCTGTACAGACGTGTACATGTTAAAGATATTCTTTCGACTCGCCTGTTCAAAACGAGATTCTTTTGTCAGGACGAAAGAGGAAAGAGTAAAGCGATGTTCCTTTAATCTTCCTATAGCCGAGGCCTGAATTAAATTCGTTTGGTTAACGAAACACTCCGAGTTTTAACTTTTGATTTAGCTAACCAAATGTTAAAGCAGAACATTTCAATCATTAAGTGCTAAGTGATTAATGTGTTTGGAGTTAAGCCACAGACGTAAATTCCTGTGATAAGTGTACGTGTAAGTGCAGTAAAATCATTTCTGCCTCACACACCCGTGAAAATAGCATGAGAAAAATCCGCCTGGATTTTATTGCATGCATTCAAATTTTGCGCGCGCCCCAGAAGGGACAATGAAGTGGTTCTGATTGTAATTCTACTCCTCAACGCTAGAGCGCAGCCTAGCGCCTCAGAGTTTCAAATTACCACCAGACCCTTTTCATCGACGTGAGCAAAACAGCGCCATCGCGTGGACATTTGTTGAATAGGTCTTGTTTTCCTGAATTTCCCTTCCCAGTCATTGTTAACTTCATAGTTGAAGCGATCGCGGCGACGCTCGCCTCTCCTCGCGTTCTGTTTGAGATTTCAGTCTATTTTCAGTTGGGCTCATTCTGTGTCAACTTACAACAAGCTGATTGGCATTGAGAGTGATACCCATCCATTAATTTTCATAATCTCATTCAGATTTGGTTTTGAGAAAACGTAAGAAGATGCACCTGAATTAAATTCTCATTTAATCTCATGCATTGTGTTATGGGCATTTCCACTTGATTTTCGTTTCCCTCCAAATAAGGTTATTGATTTTCTCCCCTCGGGTAGATCAATAAGTCTTATTAATAGATTACTTTTCTCCTTTCTGATAAATTGATTGGTTTGTTAATTCGTCTCAAGGAAT